TTTTTTGGGGGGTGGGGGGGGTGCTCCATATTGCAACAAGCCTAAACACATTTTATAAATTCCCAAGCTATGTAAGTGACGACACACCAGATCTGTAGACTCTTCCGCTGCACCATTGTGTTGTAGCCAACCATCATTGATAAGCTTAAAAGCTTCATCTCGGGACAGGAAAGATGTAAAAAAGTACTGCATTAACAGAAGGCAAGTCAAGACTACGCCGAGGAAGTATTAATCTGAAAGGAGAACAGGCATATAGCATTAACATGGCATACATCATGTTTTAAAAAAAACATATGGCATTATAAATGGCATCACAAATCCAGGACATTACCTTCTTTTCTCCGGCTACTATTTCTATTGCTGTCGGGAATATGGCCGCAGCTTTAGCTCTTCGTACTGACGTGATCTCATGAAAATGTATTATTTTCTGGAAGATGGATATTGATAACTTAATTTACATCAAGGTAAAAATGTATAGCAAAACAGATGAGAAAGAGAAACTTTCTTATTTATCTTACTATATTTTCCTTGATTCCCTTTTTACTTATCCAAAAAAAAAAAGGAAACAAGCTATCCTCAGATGTCATGCAGTATAATTCTTGGTAAATATTGAATGGAGCTTATTAGTCAGTCTTAAAACTTAAATAACAAGGCCAAACAATGAAATACAGACAAAGCAATCCTTTAAACACATTCTTAGGACCTCATGATGGTGTACCCTCCTATTGCAAACAATAGCAGCAAGAATTTTATGTATCGAGACTAAAATATGTCAACAGTTGCCAAGCAGGAAAGCAACACGACAAATAAAAAAAGGAAATCTGTATATGGCACCAGAACAAAGAATTGGGGGGGGGGGGGGGGGGGGGGGGGGATAAAAAGGAAGACATAGGAAACAGAGGGTCCTTTGTTGTTCAAATATTCATCGCCTTCAATTCACAAAACTCTCATATAAAACAAACTGCTTAAGATGGAATGATAATAGAGCATTCCACTATAAGCTTTTCGAATCTCTCTTCCATATGACATCCCACCGCACATGAGAGGTCGTATCATTACCATCCTTGCCTATATCCCTTCTATAACCTATATCCTGTTGTATCAGTCCAAACATCAAACATGTGAGCCAAACCCTTCCTAGTGTTACTTGGAATGTTTACTTTCTCTAATGCACCCATTTCAGGTGGGTAGCACGTAAGCACCTTGTACAGACAAATTGTCATATCTAGTTCTAAGTAAATAGAACCTTCCCTTCCTCTTCTTTCTACCTTGAATCACATGAAGCCTTCTCAATCAAGCAGTGCTATGAAAACAAATCCAAACAAATCAAAATATGCATTTTCCTTCTCATGCAGGCACATAACCTCTATCCTGACCCCGTGAATCTAGTAAATATTTTGTTAATAGCAATTCCAAAATAATTGCATAATCGAAACAGACAAAATCTCAGCTATATTTGTGTACAGAGAAGAACACCTTATCAGTAGTGAAAACCTATCTCAATCAACTATAGGCTTTATAAAAGGTGAATTTATTGAAGGGTAAAAAAAAACAGAACACCAAACCTTTGTCTCAAAGCCGAAGAGGTTGGAATAAAAGCAAATATAATGGCCAAAGAGGTACATATGACCCTGTAACAACAGTAAAACATTAACCAACGCACAAAAGCGTGTAAACAAATTAGAAAGGAAGGGAAAATGTTACATATTAGAAATTAGGGTGGTTCAAGAAGCCACAAGTTCAACTATACATGTATAATATCATCTTTTTAATGCGGATAGATGTGAAACATCATACAGTTCAAGTTTACCTGAAGTAGAAAACTCTCTTGCAGCGCACAGTTAAAATCTTGAACCAGGACCTGTAAAGAATTTATACAGGCCAACAGAACATAAACATAAAATATCTGTTAGCATGCAGATTTGAAAGCTGCATTCAGCCACGGGAAAGAAGAGGTGGAACTATATTCTTCATACAGATGAAATAAAGATTCCACAAGACATGCTCAATCAACAACTTAAGTGAAGAGATGTAAAAGAAAAGGATCTAAAGATCACATTATCTATTCCTGTTTCGAAACATGGACATGAAGATAAGATGTACAAAAATTGAACTTGGCAGAACGACACACTATGGGGTGCAAATCAAGGTATGACTTGGACACACGAAGGCTAAGTACTTTTTGAGTAAACGGTTCTAGATAATTTCTTTGCTAACAAGCACTAGGAAGCATCTGCTTAAGTGAACAACCTAATGTTTTCTTAAGCTTGTAGAGCATCTCAAACAGGAACATATCCCATTTATGCCTCAACCCTAAATTGGTTGGAGTCAGCTATACAAATCTTTTGTACCATTCCGCTCTAGAGGTTTGATCATAGTCAGACTAGTTCTACATTAATTTACATTGGTTGTCAACCTACTGCAACGCTCCTTTTCATTTTGGAGAAGGCAACATTCTATATAGAGAGAGAGAGAAAGGGAACCTTGGAGCAATGGTAAGGTTATTTCCGTGTGACCTATAGGTTACGGGTTCGACCCATCGAGGCAACCACTAATGCTTGCACTAAGGTAGGTTGTCTATTTTGGGTGCGGCCTTTTTCCGGATGTTGCGTAAACGCGGAATGCCTTGTGCACTGGACTGCCCTTTAATATATATAGAGAGAGAGACAGCGAGAGAGACATCAGCACAAAGGTTGTGGTGGAAAATAAATTGTTAAACCATGGCACCAAATTAAAAACCAAAATAAAACCTTGATCTTCTTACAAGGAATCTAGCGCATATAGGAGAGCCTCAGGATCATCTATACATTCAGATTTACGCCAAAAACTAAAAAGAGGAACACAATCAATCTTAATCAGCTGTAAGAAACTGCTCCTATCTTCAAAATATCTCGAACTCCTCTCTTTCCATACTGTCCACCAGAGACAATTTTCCACCTGTCTTTGTTTCAGCTGCAGTTCCTTCTTTGGTCCAGCTTGTCAACACATCAGAAGGTCTACCTGGCATTGGCCATCTAATGCCTCTAATGTTGATGAACAAATACCAAAGTTGACTAGTAATCCTGCAGTGTGAAAATAGATATTGATTGTCTCTTCATCCTACCCATACAAATAGCATCTTGAACAAAGTGGCATTCCCCTCTTCCTAAGATTATCCCGAGTCAAAACAACTTCTCTGACTACAATGCTCTTTCTTTGTTCCAACGTGGGACCAGATGTGTTTGCACATAGCCGGAGAAGTTATTTCCATAACCACGCCAAAAAAAGAACTTTGATATTTGGTACTAGTTTTGCAATTTGTTTGTTGTCTTACAGGATTAAGCCTCAAACAAGAAATGATAATCAGAAATACTGACACTTCTAAAGACATTAAAATACCAAGGGAAAAAGGTCAGAGTATACCCTGGTGAATTCACCAGATTTAAACTTTATGGGTTCGGGTTCGGATTCGGAATTCTACTACATCCAGTCCAATTGCTGGGCTCGAAATCTATTATATTTACTTATTTAATGGGTTTTTTAACACATATAAAGGGTTTAAGCCAAAGCTACTAAGATTGAATGAACCGTAGCTTCTTCACTACATCCGCCCCTGGTGAATCACAAAATAGCATATATATATAACCATAAGTAAACTGCCACAATTCAATGCAAACAAATTCATAGAGAAATTAACACATAAGAGACGGATACTCACTTCATCGGGCGGTAAACGGAACAGTTGTCGATACTCTTCACTCTTCACAAACAGCTGATTCTGTCACAAAATTGATAATTGTTGCAATCAGCCACACACAGTCAAATCATTCACCAACCACAACTCCAATTTTGTTTAAATTTAGTTAGTTGATTGTGACAAACTCTTGAAAAGTAAAAGAGTTCTTCATTTGCATGCAACAATAAACCAGAGTAGAAACTTTCTTTGAAGCTATGATCACCCATAAAATTCATATAGTATACACTAAAATTGTGGAATTTAATTCATAATTCAGACTCCTAATGCAATATCGAGTAGAAATTAATTGAACAAATTAATTTAAAAGAAGGTAACCTGAGCATCAGATAATCGTGTTGGGCTAGGGGAAGAAGCAGAGGAAAGATCAAGGGAAGGGCGGCGATCGAGAGCATCAGTATCGGAGGCGGCGTCAAGGCCACGCCGGGAAGTGGAAGGCGACAGATGCATGTGTTGCGAGGGCGGAGGCGACGGCGACATAATTTTCTCGGTCACGGCGGCAGCCATGGTTGGTTGGTTGGTTGTGAAATTAATAACGACGAGTCCAAAGGAAGCGTAAACGGCTATTTTAGCACGGAGAATGACGTGTCGGTTACATCAAAGGGTTCGAGCGCGTCGTGGTGTTGTTGGGACGTAACTCTACCGAAGGAGACGTGGACCTGTATTCAGTTTTAAGTTTGATGTGCCCATTTTTGACTTTTTTTTCTCGACCTTTTTCCTCGCTACTAGACTAACTAACGGTCAACAGTATATTAGAGTTGGTGTGTGATATCGGCTAATGATTTAAAGCAGATGATTACTGTTTTTTAATAAACCCAGTTAGTAAAGTATGCACTAAGGATGGTCGGAATCAAGTAAAGAGGAGTATTCCTATTTTAAAATCTCTAAGGGTGAAATTATAACTTTTACGATCTAAATTGTGCGTACATTGGCAATATTCATATTGCTTTTGATAATTTTATAATGGTACATTTGCGTAAGTTATAATAATCAAGTAAAAAGGACAAAAGTCAACTTCATCAAAAAGGAAAAACTATGTTTAGTTCTTAAAACTATCTATTTATTATTATACGCAACGTATAAATATTATCGAATAATAATAATTAAAAAAAATTACCGTTCGATCCTGTTGTGACTTCCTAAATGCTACGACAAATCAAGTCATATCAGCAAAGGATAAGGAAGTGAAAATGTGTGTTGAGTGAAATATTCGAAAAAGGTTACTTTACACAAGAGGGTAGATATGGTTCTTAACAAGTCTTAAGAGATCAATGTTAGACAATAACCAAATGCGACTTGCTGAAATGTCAGAGCTTTTTTAATTTATAAAATGGGATTTTATTTGGTCGGTCGTCTAAAAATAATTACAGTTCCTAGTTAAATATACAAAAATATAGAGAAACTTTCAGAAATTACTATGTTTTAGTGATTATTAGCTAGTTGTAGCTATCATTTACTATATTACTTCCTATAGCTATGTTTCCAGGTTTTCTAGAGTGTATTCGATGTATTTAAGCTACTGCATTCATGAATACAGTAGCATTTCTCGGCGTGAATCAGGGAATTACAGCGAGACAGATTATTGTATTCGACTGTATTTACGGCGTGAAACAGGGAATTACAGCTAGACAGATTATTGTATTCGACTGTATTCACGATATGTATTTATGAATACAACAACGTAAATAGCGCAATTCATGGTCTATTCAGTTGTTTTTAAACGGAAAGTGAATCAATTAACACAATAAACTCCTAGTATAACTCAACAAACTCAACTATAAATCTGAATACATAAATTATATTAATTAAAAAATATATATGAATACATTGATGGAATATAGCGAGACAGTGAATACAATGAAATACATGGAATACAACGAGATACATTGAAATACAATGAAAAAAGAAAATAATGAATACAATGAAATACATAGAATACAACAAGATACATTGCAATACAACGAGAGAGAAAAAAAGGAAACATACTCTTCAAGTTGCTCAGCCCCAAATTCCGTCGTCTTTGTTCAAAGTAAAAATTCCTAATTAGAACGATATTCATCTGCATAAAGGTGAAGAAGGTCGTCCACATGAGGCAACTCTTTAAAAAACTTGTCAAAATCGTTGAATGACATCCCCTGCCCTAAACTTGGATTTGGTCGGCACGCAATGGACTCGGTCTCAGAAATTAATGTTCTACTACTTTGATCATCCCAATTAGTGTAGATTGGGGGAAAACGGGAAATAACGATGAACCTTTTGATGCTTCTTCGATTTCTTTCATGGCGGATTCTGTTTCAATCTCTTGCTGTGTGAGAATTGGCGCTGAGAGAGAGAGAGGTTGGAGAAAAATCTGAAAGAATGAGATAGAAAAATAATATAAAGCGTATTTTATGGCTTAAGTGTAAGAGGTGACCACAAATAGATATTTGGCTATAAAAATGAAAAAGTAGCTATGGAATATAATTTTTTAAAATGGTATTTATTTAAAATAAATAAGACATCAACTTTTGCTATAGGAGGTAAAATTCCAAAAATATATATTGGTTATATATAAAATATATATTTATTGACTATTGCTTTTTATGGCAACTATATACAATGAAGATTCCCCAAAATTCAAAGTGTCCATTGGACCAAATGAGGGCGATGTGCACAAATAGTCACTAATAGCACATATCTTTATTTTAAAGCCAGTGATTTAAATGTCTTTAGGCTTTAGCCACTGGTTTAATAAACTTATACCTGATTGGATGAAAATACTCTTCTGCTATAACTTATACCTACGCTTTTATTAACAATCAGCAGTAGCAACAACGCACGTAACTACTTCACTATAATCGTCGAATTTCAAAGTATAGAATTGCAAAAGATTCTCTTCTGATTTCAAACTATAGAATTTAACCTTCTCGTCCAAAAATCGACATAAATTTACAATAAGTTATACTTTTATGTGTTTCTATTGATTTTTATTTCGACATAGTTATATTTTTTCCGATTTCTATTAATTTTTATACAGTAAGTAGAAATTTGATTTTTTTGTTTTTTTGAATTTCTGGATTGATAAGGTTAAGGACATCACATCCTGTGATAATTCTATAAAAAGTGAGCACATAATATTGAGGACATAGTGTCCTGATTTTGCAAATTGAATTGAAAAAGTTAAGGACATTGTGTCCTTAACTTTGTTGTTGTTCTTCTGTATATTAAGGTCATACTGTCATAGATTTGCAAATTGTTTTGAAAAAGTTGAGGACACTTGGACCTGAAGTTTGAGTTTCAAGTTGAAAAGTTCAGGACACTTGGTCCTAAACTTTGACTTACATGTTAAATATTTAAGGACACTTGGTCCTTAACTTATAGTTATAAGTTAAAAAGTTAAACACAGGTAGTCCTTAACTTTAAGTATCAAGTTCAATAGTTAAGGACACTTCATCCTGAACTTTGACTTGCATGTTGAGTAGTTAAGGACACTTGGTCCTTAACTTAGAGTTCCAAGTTAAAAAGTTAAGGACAGGGAGTCCTTAACTTCAAAAGTTTCAAGTTTCAAGAAACATATGAAAGACAAATACATCCTGTAGGACATACTGATTCTTGGATTGTACCAGAAAGTGTTAAGTCACAAATTGTTAAACCTCCAGATTTCAAAGTGCCACCAGGTAGAAGGCAGAAGAAAAGGCATATTCCAGCTACCGAGTCATCAAAAATAACATTCAAATGTGGTCGTTACAGAAGAATTGGTCATGATAGAATAACTTGTATATATTCTCCGGCAGTCCATCCATTTTCAAGAAAGCATAGAGAATAGTAGATATATTCACTTATGTTTATCGACTATTTTAAGTTTTTGCTATAAATTGGATTCATTTAGATTATTCTTATTTGAGGAGATGTCTGAATTTTCAAAATTTCTTTTTGCTTACGTTCTTTTTTGTTTCTTTTGAGTTCAAAGTTTAAAAGTTAAGGACAGAAGTCCTTAAGTTTGACTTGCAGGTTCAAAAGTTAAGGACGGACAGTCCTTAAGTTTGAATTACAGGTTCAAAAGTTAAGGACAGACAATCCTTAACTTTGAGTTCAAAGTTCAAAAGTTAAGGACTGACTGTCCTTAACTTTGAGTTTCAAGTTTAAAAGTTAAGGACAAGAGTCCTTAAGTTTGACTTGCAGGTTCAAAAGTTAAGGACAGACAACCCTTAAGTTTGAATTACAAGTTCAAAAGTTAAGGACGGACAATCCTTAACTTTGAGTTCAATGTTCAAAAGTTAAGGACTAGTTGTCCTTAACTTTTGAACCTGCAAGTCAAACTTAAGGACTCTTGTCCTAAACTTTTAAACTTGAAACTCAAAGTTAAAGACAGTCAATCCTTAAGTTTGAATTACAGGTTCAAAAGTTAAGGACAAGCAGTCCTTGACTTTGAGTTCAAAGTTTAAAAGCTAAGGAATGTATGTCCTTAACTTTGAGTTTCAAGTTCAAAAGTTAAGGACATGAGTCCTTAAGTTTGACTTGCAGGTTCAAAAGTTCAGGACATGCAGTCCTTAAGTTTGAATTACAGGTTCAAAAGTTAAGGACATGCAGTCCTTAACTTTGAATTACAGGTTCAAAAGTTAAGGACATGCAGTCCTTAACTTTGAATTACAGGTTCAAAAGTTAAGGACAGGCAGTCCATAACTTTGAGTTTCAAGTTCAAAAATTAAGGACACTTGGTCCTTAACTTTGAGTTTCAAGTTCAAAAATTAAGGACACTTGGTCCTTAACTTTGAGTTTCAAGTTCAAAAGTTAAGGATAGGAGTCCTTGAGTTTGACTTGCAGGTTCAAAAGTTAAGGACAAACAGTCCTTAACTTTGAGTCAAAGTTCAAAAGTTCAGGACATATGGTCCTGAACTTAGACTTACAATTTCAAAAGTTAAGGACAAGCAGTCCTTAACTTTGAGTTACAAGTTCAAAAGTTAAGGACACAAGGTCCTGAACTTAGACTAACTGAAATTAATGATATTACCTTAATTTCATTCTCAATCTTTTTTTCTAATACAGATATTTTCTGATTTATTCTAGTAACTTCAGCATGCAGATCCTTTTTAAAACTCTCTGATAATCTCTAAATCAAAAACCATAAAAACAAAAAAGTCTCTTAAGCAAAAAAATAATCAAATAAAAAACTAATGTTATTCAAAGACAAAAATCCTACTTTAACAATTTCCTTAAGCATGACTTCATCAAATTGTGTGGAAGAAAGCATTGAGCTTTGATCTTGAGAAATTGACTCTCGCACACTAATAGGTTCTGTATCTTCTTCAATATGAATAAATGGTGCCACCTCGATCAACTTATACAACTATTATATAACAAAAAAAAACATAAGTTTTCATAACTAAAACAAATAAACAAAAAAATAGTTAGTAATTAGATTAACTTACATTTTCATTATGGAAGTATTTTTACACAAAGAATCATACTGTGGAGATTTCATTTCCAAATAACATAACATCCGAGGAAAATTACATTCTTGGAAGTTCGCAAATTGTTTTTCCTGAAAAATAGGCAATACTTCCATAATCCAAACACAAAAAGCAAAAGGAAAGCCAAGTATAGTGTAGTTATCCTTGTCTTTATCTTTGTCTTTCTCTTTCTCTTTCTCATTGGGCTTCAAACAAATCTTCAATAATTTTAATAACATTTCATAAGAAAGAGAGCCCCAGTTGAAAGAAGAGCAGAGTTC